CTACCCATCCTTTGTTTCAATTCTCTCATGTTCACCGGACGCGGGGTGGTGGATACTCTAGCGCCGCCGCTGATATTTATGATAATATTATTAACAATGTGTAATTGTTCATGGGGGGTATATTGCCATAGTTCGCTTGGCGAGCGGGTTGGCAACCGCAGTTTTTTTTTGTCCTACAGTTGCTGTTATCAGGAAGATGCTGCTGCCCATCTCCTGCCTGTTTCCCTCTGTCGCCTCTTACGACACCCCCGGGAAGATATGGGGTAGTGGATATTCTTAACCGCCACTACACGGCAGCGTTCGGGAAATTACGACACATCTTCTCGTCAGGTATACCTCAATCTCTGAAAACGAAAGTGTACAACCAGTGCGTGTTGCCAGTGATGACTTACGGATCAGAGACGTGGTCCTTCACTGCTGGCCGTATGAGGACGCTCAAGGTCGCTCAGCGAGCTATGGAGAGGGCTATGCTCGGAGTTTCTCTGCGTGATAGACTCAGAAATGAGGATATCCGCAGTAAAACCAGAGTGACCGACATAGCCCAACGGATTAGTAAGCTGAAGTGGCAATGGGCCGGCCATATAGCTCGAAGAACCGATAACCGATGGGGAAGAAAGGTTCTCGAGTGGCAGCCTCGTACCGGTAGGCGTAGTGTAGGGCGACCCCCCACTAGATGGAGTGACGATCTGGTAAGATATGCAGGAAGTCGATGGATGCAGGTGGCTCAGGACCGTGCTTTGTGGCATTATTTGGGGGAGGCCTATGTTCAGCAGTGGACTTGTGAAGGGCTGTGATGATGATGATGATGATGATATTAACAATGAACCTTTGACAATCAAATAAAACCATTTTCAGGTCGCTCACTGCAATGTTATTCCTACATCTCCGCCGTTGTCGTTAGAGTTCCCGTTGCCGATAACCACACCACGTAGGTGTCAGTTAATTTAATTTGTGATATGGTGATGGTTTCCTGGTCGTTTTCGTTATTTAAGATCATGATCCCTGTATTTATAATTTGTTACACTTAAGGATCACATTTTTGTTAACTACACTGTCGCTTTAGGTCACTCATGCTATGATGACGGGTTTAAGGGGGTTGTTAAGATGGCTTGGGAGAATGCTCTTTCTTGAAGATATTTGATTTTGTTTGATTAGGATTAGGATATTTAATTAGTTTTTTTTTTTTGAATGTATAATTTGAAGTAAGTATCAAAAAATAAATAAATATACGTTCGTCCTCATTTCCTCCCGCAGACAAAGTAATTAACGGCTATGGGATTTTTTTTCTATTCTTACAAATGCATGTTCTTTGCGGGATTTAAAATCACGCTACTACTCATTGCTAAGCCACTGCGCCACGGAGCCGTCAAATGTTGTTTTGGTTTCAGATAGATGGCGGGATAATCAGCATATTTTCGCTAGGCGTAAAGCATTTATTGCGAAGCGTGATGTTTAAGGCAAGTCAGTGCAATGGGAGGATGAGACCCGGTGTGAAATAGAAGATTTTATACTTATACTATTAGTTCAGGAAAGGTTGTGCAGTGTCAGAAACACAGCCATGTACGCTATACGTCCAGACCGGTTATCTGTCCATCCATTACAGCATATAAAAGTCCACCCTCCCCCATAGATTGGTTCATAGGGGGGATTTTTTATATAAGTAAAATTGGAGTGTCTGGCTGTAAAAAAAACTAAGGGATTTATTTTTCTGCCATTAAGAAATGAATAATCATTTATAAAAAAAAATATCTGCCTGTGTCTGTCCGTACTCATCTTGTGAATGGCTGCCGATAGTAAAGAAACTTTACGAACAGATCTAGGCTTATTTGATCCATAAATTTTTTGTGAAAATAACGAAAATAATAAAATAAATGATCTTTAATGGAAATAAAACTAAAATAAATCTGAATAAATTATGCTACATTAATATATCCCACCCAGGTTAGCCCGGCGCTCGTTGCTAATTTATAAATATTTTCGTGTATGCCTATATCTGCTTAGAATTCGAATGCAAGACTCGCGTGTTAAGATGCTCCGACTACTAAGCCACAGCAAACACAGCAATATCTTAATCAATGCATCTTTATTTTAGGTTCCACACGTGAAGGGCGCTTGACTAAAGCGGTCGATCCTTTCGCGCAGTCCTTGAGGAAATATCCGCAAACCTTGACTAACATCACTGGTTCTTCTGAGCTTATAGAAAAAATCCTATCTAGAACAATCTCTCAACGATGTTAGTATTCGAGTGAAACCAGTTTACACAGTTTTTATAACTTATATTCCCGACGTTTTTAGTATTTTACAGCATTCATTGTCACAGGGAGGACTAAGGTGCTCGACGGACCAATGTTATTGTTAACCACCTCAAGTTAAAACTTATTGATTTTTGGTGAGTTCTACATTGAACAAGCTTCTTACGTGATATAACCAACACGAATTGGCCTGCTGAACCATGGTAGAATCACGTCTCACAGGATACCAGCGTAAAATAGCAACTTTATGCTGCTGTGTTTTGTTTGGTGAGTGTAAAGAACCGGAGACGTTTTTACTGGAAACAAAGCATTCCATCTTAGTTTTCAAGGGCAAAAACAAATCTGCATTTAGATTCCTAATCGAGGATAAATGTAAATGTCTATGGGCCACAGCATCCACATACCATCGGGAGGACTCACTGTTCTTAGATAGAAGTGTGTGAATAAGAGTTCTAAGAGAGTAAAATAGAGTCCTGCTGCAGCTATATTATGGTTGTAGGACAAATGGGTCGAATCGATCAAGGAAGGACCACGCTCTCACAGAATACCAGTGAAATAGCAGCAGAATTAAGCTTTATTTCCTATGGTAAGTATAGAGGAACCGGAGCCCCTTTTCGCAAGGATTCGAGGCATTCCATCTTACTCGTAGTTCTCAGGGGTTACAGCGCAGCTGAATTTTGATCCTTTATCGTATATACTCGTAGATGGAGATGTCTTAGGGTAATAGCATCCGCTTACCGTTATATGAAACAGTGAACTTTATTCTATAAAAAGAATATGAAGTTCATGTCGCTATGAAGGTATTTTGTGTCGTAAAGGTCGACTGTGTGCTTAAAAATCTAGTGATTTCCGACAGGTGACCGTACAGTCACCATAAAAATTCAAAAAATTCAGTTATTAGGATTGCCTCCCCTATATGAGATAGGATAGGGGGGATATTTACCATTGTAACCACGCTTGGCAGGCAGCTCGACAATCGCAGTGTTTTTGGTGTAATTAGGAAGTCGCTGCTGGCCATTACCTGGTTTTTTTCCCTTTGTCATCTCTTACGACATAAAAAGGATGATATAGGGTAGTGGGTTGGTACTCTTATACAGAAGTCATACGATCACTAACAGATGCACCATTATAATGAACATTGCAGTGAACAAAGAAAAATCCAAAAAAGTACATTCAATGGCACGTAACAAGAAGAACAAGTGTTTTAACGAAAAGCAAGTGAATAATGTGAGCCATAAAAACATACAGACGTATACTAGAAGGAGTGGAGAGTCACCGACGTATAAAAATAATAATCATCGTAATCACGACGCCGACTTTAGCGTTGAGTCAACAAATTTTGAAAAATCTAGCACTTCTAGTACAAAACAAAACTCTGGCTTAAGGTAATTAAACTTGAAGCATTATTGCTATATTTATATGTCGTCAAAGCCGTGGTAGCTCATGGACTAAGCACTTGGTGTAAATTTCACAGTACGCGAGCAACCCGGGTTCGATTCCCGGCGGCACCAATGAAATTGTTAATTGCAATTATAAATGTAGATTTAGCACGTGCTCGGCGTTGAAGGTAAACATTGTGAAGAAACCTGCATGTCTAAAAATAAAAATAATATTTTGAAGACATTTAGTTATGTCACACGTGCTCTAATCTGTGTTCACCAACACATATTAGAGCAGCGCGGCGAACATTTTCTTGCCCTAAAACCCTCTCAGTAATGAGAGGAGGCCTGTGCCATCAATGGGACGTATATAGGAAGTAACGTTATCTTTTATAACATGTCGTTCTTAATAGTTACTAATGTTAGAATCACTGTGCACTATGTAGAAAAATAAGTGACAAAAATCAAGTATTTATTGTCGAATATATCCAACATTGTTATTGATATTTGCGTTAAAAAGTTTTCAATTCTGACATGCATTGCATGTCAGAATGTCTAACATTTTTTTTCTATTTACATTTGTAATCAGGAAGATGCTGTTTTCCATCTTCTGTTTCAGTTTGGCCTCTGTATTTTATTTCAAAGTTTATTTAACCCATAAGTCATCCTACGAACCTTACTTAATATTCGAATTTTAATACGTGGTGAAGTCACGCTGCATGTGTAACAAGTCTGCAGCACGAATGGGTCGACTTAATCTGAAATGGCCACCCTATCACACAATACGAGCATAAGTAACAACAGATGTTTCGTATGATATGTGACAAGACCAGAGACCCTTTTTACTTTTAACCAGGCTTTCATTCTTAGTCCACAGGGATGACGACGCATTTGCATTTTGTTCTTTAAACCGAGGGTAGATTTAGATTACCTATAGACCATGGCAACCACTTACAATCAGGTAGACTTTGTGCTCGTTCCTTGATCGACGTACGAGTTTTATCGTGGAGTTGTGATGATCAACCAAAGGGTTTTACCTTAGAGTCAAGGTAAAACCCTTTGTTTGATCATCACAAAACTGCGGTTTTTAACCGACTCGCCATCGTTTTATGGAATCTGGCGTTGGAAGTTGCTTCAACTTCAACTCCAAACTATTTGACTCGCACAGAGTATCAGGAAAGACGAGCCGTGAGTAAATCCGTCGTAATTTTGAGCGCAAGCTTATAGCTCGTGCGCCGATCATGACTTTGCTTGTATATTAAAAGAATTGTTTTGACTTGAGTTTTAGTATAAATAAAAACCTCTTTTTAAAAACAAAAATTTTGCACAAATGCTTATCCTACTGATATATTCAAAGTGCTTGTTCAACATGCTGGGGCGTCATTTTAGAGATTTATTGCCTCGCGTGCAAAGGATGGGCAAAGACGCTGAAGTGAGATACTTCAACGACGTGAGGAAGTGTATACGTGATACCTTCAGACATGTTTGCGAGGAAGAGACTGTGGTGAGTTTCAAATAAGAATTTTAATATGATTATCATTATCTTAATCAGCATTACAGACCTTCATATGTCCATTGCTGAACACAGGTACAAGAAACCAAGGAATGCCACAAAAGCATGGTCTGAGGCCATTTTCATCCAATGCCTGCATGACTTACCAGGTTATCACTACCATAGAGGTTCACTAATAGAGGTTCACCCGACCCGGTTACCAACGTGAAACTGCTACTCTAGCACCTTTCTCCCTTATCGGTTCTTCGAGCTAAATATGTGGCCGTCTCGTTGTCACAGCACCCGTTGCGCAATGTCGGTAACTATGGTTCATCTAAAATTAATCTCATTTCAAAGTCTTTCATGCTGCAAAACTCCAAGCATAACCCTCTCCATTGGTCGCTCATACGACCAAATATGAAGGACCACGTCTCAGATCCTTGAGTAATTTTAACTTATATTTAACTTTATAAAAATATACATATTAAGTTTAGAATCCTACGTAGAGTATGTACTCATGTTGGTAAAGTAATAGCATATATTACGTGGTAGAGCCACGATGTAGCTATATTACGGTTGTAGCTTGCAGCACAAATGTTCTTGAACGATCGGACAAAGCTCTCTCAGAATAGCAGCTTTATGCTGCTTTGTTTCGTATAGCTTTCTCATACGTATATAGGATCCACGAGATATACATTTTTAATTTTTCATATATGCATTACGCGGTAGGGACACGCTGCAGATATGTTAGTGATATAGATGTATAGCACGAACGGGTGGGCTTGACCGGAGAGAACCACGCTCTCACAGAATACCACCCGTACTCCTATAATAGCAGCTTAACGCTGTTGTGTTGTGTATGAGTGTAGAAAACCAGAGACCCTATATACCGGAAACGAGGTATTCCATCTTGGTACTGTTAAACATGTTCTAATATAATATATTTAAATTTGTTGTATTTCACAGACTTGTCCAGAAATCGAACGTCGCTTGTGCGTCCATCGAAAAGAGTACCACAGCCCGTGCCAAAATCGGAATACGGTAATTTTTAAACATAGTACAGTGTTATTATATAAAAGTGACTGTTGAAGCCAAAATTATCTAACAACAATGAAATCTGTGATAAAAGCCGCACAAACTCCGCCTAATCATTTGCCATTGAATAGCTTCTTAGAAGTTACCAAGATTACAGTACAGTACAGTTACAGTCTTCTAAAGTTGACTGCTGCTGTATTATACCTGACCGAGGCTCGACCGGGGAAGGACCATTCGCACAGAACTTTTCATACATTAATTTATTACAGTCCATTAAAGTTCACTTCACAATAAAGGCCTCCCCATAGACATCCTAATAAGGAGAATATTTGCCACAGTTGCAACGCTTGGCAGACGGGTTCACAATTGTATTTATTGTTATTAAAAAACGCTGTTGCATATGTAATTGATTTGTTTCTTTCCGTCGCCTTTTACGTTCTATCCATTTAATTTTTATTTAGTTATGGCAAAGATGTATGCCCACTTTCCAAACATTGATTGACCTGTCACTTGATTCGTTTTACAGGTCGCGTCTACCTACAACTACTGTTGTATAAAATCAATTATTGTTTATAATAACATAACAACTTGTCACCTTTTCATTTAGATGCCAGGGAAAAATTCTATTAAGTAATTAAGTTTTGCAGGTTATAACAGCTATCAAATAAGGTCTGTCTGACAGCTGTCACAATCTCAAAAACTATACGATAATTAAATCAGATTGTTTCTTAATCGCGGAGAGAGTTACAAATACTCAGAAATAAATCCCTCTTCAATGTAATATCATCATTGCCATGGCTTCTTGGCCTTTGAGTCATTGTTAACCACGCCATTCTTTTGTCCAAATTAAATTATTATGGCATTAACGGAAACCTGTTGAATTGGATAAAATCCTACTTATTTAATCGAATTCAAAGAGTAACAAAATACAGGGTTTCAAGTCTTTCTCGTTTTTTCCAACTTCAGGCGTTCCACAGGGGTCTCATATCGGCCTTATTCTCTTTTTGGTGTTTATAAATGACATTTCTGCTCACATTGCCTTTAGTAATTACTCAATATTTGCAGATGACTTAAAATTGTATAGGTTATAGAGTCTCCAGATGATGTAGTTAGATTACAGACAGATCTCACCTCTATCTCAGATTGGTGCAAAAGTAACAAAATGCTACTTAATCTTAAGAAATGTCTGTCTATAAAAATTACCAGAAGGAGAAACACTATTCGCTCCAGTTATTTTGTAGACGGAGAAAAATTAACAGAATCCGAAGTAATCCGTGACCTTGGCGTAATGATCGATAAAAAATTAAATTTCAACATCCACGTTGATAATATTGCATCCAAAGCAAGGAAGATGGTAGGATTCGTAAAGCGAATATGTAAGGATTTGCGGAACCCTATATCTATTCTCACTATATACAAAGCTCTTATTTGTAGTACACTAAAATATGCATCACCTGTTTGGAACCCATCATACCAATTTCACAGTGATCGAATAGAGCGTATCCAGCGCAATTTTACCCGCTAGTTAGCCTTTAAAGATCAAACTTGTCCTTACCGTACTGACTATAATACTAGGCTATTCCACTTCAAATTAGAGTCTCTCGAAAAAAGACGTCGACTTAGCGATCTTAAAACACTTTATAAGCTAATTCACGGCCTCCTACTATCATAGGCACTGTTAAATCAAATAAGTATCAGAGTTCCAAGATCTATTCCAAGACATCCGATTACCAAACCCAACCAGAGAAGAAATTTAGGTAAACGAGCCCCAATAAATAGGTTAATGCAAACGTATAACGACATAACCACCAACGGAGACGTCGACATTATCCATACGGATAACGTATCAAAATTCGCTAGATTATGTAATAAGTATTTATACCCTTTCTCTCTTCTTCAGGTTTAGCATTAGTTTTATTGTAAGCAAATTACTCGTAAATTTATTAATGTTCTTGTTCTAGTTAAGTAAGTTAACAACTGTCTTATTGTAGCTGCACTACTTTTGTGAATGTTGTATATACCTCTAAAGGCGAATCATTTTGAACAAAACCAATTTGTGTTATATTTAACAATGTCTAGTGATAAGCCAATGGTGTATCTGTTAAATAAATAAATAAATAAACTGTAAAACGCGTTCCATCTCCAAAAGTCTGTTGAGAATGATAAACATAGTAACATTACTTTTTTTCCTGGCTTTATTGGAAAATTCAATTATGTGATAAGAAATAAGCAAAAGAAGGCAATTTTATAAGATATTATACATTTCTAGATGCGTTAGAAAATTTTCAGGTCAAGACTGGACATGATTCTTAAAACATTCAAACCTTTATCAGTCCAGCGCTCAACTCTAACAAATCTAGCTAGCGTTTGCCATAAAGCTAGTCGCTCTACTGTTGTCACAAGTTTTTAAAGTCACAAGTCTATAAAGGTTGCGCAGTGTTATTTTTTTCTCAGCTTAATTGTTTATTTTCAGTGTGGCGAAACTGGTTGCTTCAGTACAGACCGTAAGTAGAAATAAATTATGGACAGGTAGACAAAAAGGAGTACTTGCCAATGTGGTGTCAGAGTAAGAGAATCCGTCACTTATGTCACTTGGGTGTCGTAATAGGCGACTATGTGAATGCTATAAATATTATGATGCTAGCACGAATGGGTTGGCTTAACCGATAAAAGGCACTCTCACAGACTACCAGCGTAAAATAGCAGCATAACGCTGTTTCGTATGGTGAGTATAGAGAACTTTTTAATAGAAACTAGGTATTCCATCGTGATAGCGCATCTGCATTTTAATACTTAATCGAGGATAAATATAGATGTCTATGGGCCATAGTATTCATTAACATTAGGTGGACTGCTCGTTTGTCATCCTTATCCAATAAAAAATACTGGAAATATCTTACAGTGCCCGACAGATGGCGGTATAATGATCTCGCTTACGTCAAACGTTAAATATTCGGACCGGAGACAGGCAGCACTGTCAAAGGTGCCAGTCACCAATGCTCAAATCCTCAAATGCTGCTTAATTTTAAGGCGCCGTTAGGCCTCGTACTCTCTCTATCACTTTAAGTCAAGGTGACTGTAAGATACCACGAGCAAAGAAATCTAAATAATAAGGCAATAGAAGTCGTAAAAGCGCGTGACCTTGTCGTCGCACATGTGACTCGTAGGCCACAAGCGCGCAAGGAGCGTTTGTTTCGGACACCACTCACCAGTGTAATTTCGGACGCAGAGACGTAAAAATTGGGGTTTGATGCATATCCAACTGTGGAAATTCTTCCACAACTTGCAAATTTTCAAATAAAGGGATAACATTTCACAAATAAGTACTTAGTGTTTTAAATAATGTTGTATTTAATGAAATATACTTAAATAAAATTATTCACCTCCAGTACTACGATTATCTCCGAAAATGTAATTGTTTTCACATTTCAATATCCATTGATTCTTAAGCTAGTTCATGTTTACGAGTACGACAGCTAAAAGCAGCGATGGATTTATAGTATGGGCAATAAACAATATTGTTGCGTAAGTAAATTTCCAAGAACACACACATATATAACAATACATACAGAAATAGGAATCAAATGTTATTTTTCGTTAAATATTTATTTACACCTCTATTTTTGTTCTATCTATACCGTTAACCTTTTATCAGCGTTTATCTGTTTGTTAGTACTTATAAATTACGTGATAAACTTTTATGCAATTTTAATATATTGTAGGGATAAGTAATAATATTGTAAGGGTGGTAGTCTAAATTCGAACTGTACGAAGCCGGGTAACTGAAAAATAACAAACAACATAAAGTCAGTTACAGATCTTTAAATCTTTGTATAAATAAAATATTGTATTCATTTTATTTATACATCTGTTTATTTAATACAATGCTATTATTCCAGGTTTCCAAAAGATCCGGATATAAAAGATAAATGGATATACTTATCCTTAACATTTTATTATATCCCCTTTTCTTTAATTATAAAACGTCTTAAAGCTAAAGCTTAGACTAAAATCGTCTATTACTGAGACACTTTCAGTTAATTAGTTATCATCTTGGTGTGAGACTCCTGGACAATCAACGATATTTAATAGAAAGTTATTGAAACGTGCGTTGCGCTGCACTACACCCAAATGAGAATGAGCGTGTAATGTTCTCTTAAAATAAAATAAAAAATAAAAATGTAATTTAATATTTTTATTATAATGGATTTCCGCAAAGTAACGCCTGATTCTATCAATTATATCATTCTCTATTCTTCGCACACGTTAATTACTGGATCAAGTGGCTACGCCTCCTGAGATTTTGCGTTTTTATAATATTTCTTAACACAATTAGTTATGGTTTAATCTTTGTTGCATGGATGTTAGAGATATGTGTAGGCGATATTGTGTATTTATTGTTTGTCTATGTGCTAAGCTATGAGCGAACCGGCGACACACGTCCCGATATTATAAGACAGTAGAAGGCATTTCTAGTACCTTATTATTTAGATTTCAGTGACCACGAGAGTTAACGACATCTTAAAATTGAGTGGCGTGTTAGTACTTGGCGAATAGTCTTCAATCCGCCTGAGAATGATCGATTAAGGCAAATCCCGTCTACAACAACCAAAACCCATCTGCAGCAGTAGACTTTTATGGTCTGATGAAGTAGAATGATAAGAAAGATAAGAAACAAAAAAAACGAGTTTTCTTATGACCACACGACTGAAGTTAAACTTTTTTAGCTCCATCTGTATGTATATATATATATATATATATATATATATATATATATATATATATATATATATATATATATGACATATAACACAAGTACATATATTAATTTTCTACAAATAATTAAATTTATGCTCGGTTCAAATTCTAAAAACATGAACTTTGAAAATAAAATTACGAAATAACTGGTTATGAAAGAAATAGAGTAAGAAAATGTGCTTTCGTCACGCGTTCGAGAGCTTACTCCCTAAATCAAGCGTGCCTAAAGAAATTTACCTCAATAAAGTAGGTGGATGGTACAATTTTAAGGCTCTGTGTTGCAGTGGCTTTGAAATGAGTAGCAGTGCTAAGAGTCGCAGGTTCGAATCCCGAAAATTACGAACGAGAACAAGTATTTGTATGGCCTACAAATAATTTTTCCTCGTCTGGGTGTTTGTTCTTTTAAAATTTATGTATTTAAACCACGATACCGGAGAAAATTTTAGAATGGATGTAACGTTTTGAAAAAAAAATAGATCAAAACCAGATAAAAAACATTACTAAGAGTTGTGATAGCTCAGGTGTCAAAAAATATACTTTGAAATTTGTAGTTACGATGAATCTTATTTTTTATTGTAAGTTATGAATAACTTTCATCGGATATCCGACTTTTTTTGTAAAACTGAAGTGAAAAAATAACTTATAGCCCACCTGATGGTAAGTAGCTTCTGCAGCCCATGGATACCTACCTGCGACTAACTTCAAACAAAGAAGGCTGTGGATGGCATGTCTCACAGTCTATTGCCAGTCTAGATACTTGCGATTATACCGGCTCGTTATACCCTTCAGATCGAAACGAAGCAGTTCAAGTGCTCATAGTACGCTGTCTACGATCTCAAACACTACGAATGCCATTTCAAATATAATTTACCGCCTAAGGAAAACGTGGTGGAAAACACTAATTTTTTAATGGAATTAGAGTGACATGCGAACATATAGTCCACCAGTTCTGTGGCCCATAGATATCTGCATCTATCTTAGATAAAGAGTTAAAATTCAGATGCGTTGTCACTCGTGGGGACTACTCGTTTCCAGTAAAAAGGGTCACCGATTCTCTACACCCACCATACGAAACACAGCAGTGTTATGCTGCTATTTTACGATGATATTCTGTGATTCTACCGGGTCGACCCATTCACGCTATACAATTATACCACTAATATAGCTGCAGCATGCCTTCACCACATAATGCATGTTTAAGAAATTAAAAAAATTAAAATTCGTGGACCTCTAGTCTCTAGGCTAAAGTTCGTTCAGCGAGCTGTGAAGAGGATCATGCTAGGAGTTTCTCTGCGTCAGAGTTCAAAACGAGAATATCCGCAATAGAACCCCAGTAACCGACACAGTCCAACGGAATAATAACCTGAAATGTACCAGGAATTTAATCATGTTCTTAATAATTTACAACCAATGATTAAAAATAGGTACAAATAAAAAAAATATTTTCAGAGCCATCACCAACCACTTCCGGAGAAACGGCGAAACATGAAGTAGTTAAAGAGGTAAATTTCAATAACCATAAAGTTTGTGCTCCAAAAAAAAAATCCCATTTACAAAATTTTAATTATTTTCAAGCAACTTTTAAAGACACTAGAATTGTATAATTTTTTTTATGGGATGATTTTTTTAAGAATTGAGTTTAAATAAAATCGATTAATTTTTATTTCATTTTTTTTATAGGATAGGGTGACAAACTAGCACACAGTCCACCTGATGGTAAGTGGTTGCTGCGGCCCATAGACATCTACATCTATCCTCGGGTGCGAATCAAAATGCAGATGCGTTTTCACCCGTGAGGACTAAGATGGAATGCCTCGTTTCCAGCAAAAAGGGTCTCCAGTTCTCAACACTCACCATACGAAATACAGCAGCATTAAGCTACTATTTCACGCTGGTATTCTGTGAGAGCGTGATCCTCCCCGGTCGAGCCGACCCATTCGTGCTACAACTATACTACCAACATAACTGCAGCATGGCTCTACCACGCAGTTTACAATATTCTCCTAGTTAGTAAGCAAAGAAAATTAAAATTTTTATTAAAATTGGTAGAGCCCGGTACACCCGGTACTAATTAATTACCCAACCTATCGCTATAATTATTAAAGGCTCTGGAATGGTATACTAGGATAAACGAATTAGGTGGTGGGAATAATGGAATTAAGGATGCAACGCACGAACTATTCTAGTGCACTCATATGAAATCCATGCCGGTACTTCGTTCCTCTAGTCCTGGTCTAATGTTCGGGACCCCCTTCCGTTTCTGCCACAGGTCCGGGAAATATCTTTCCGGGTTGAAGTGGAAGGAGACGAAGACTTTTTCCTATATTACTTTTATTTTCGAATTTACAGGTTAACTTAACTACTGTGATAATGTTAATATACAGGAATACTAAACTAGTTAACTTCGAGCCATTTGCGCTACAACTGGCTGTAGCTAGTTGTAGCATGAATGGCTCAAACGCGGTAGGACCACGCTTTCACAGAATAACAGCGTGAAACAGCAGAGTATGATGCTGCCGTGCTTCTTATGGTGAGAGAACCGGAGACCTTTTTTACTGGTATAGAGTCACTCCATCTTATACTTTAGGGGTGATGTATTTTCATTCTTAATTGAGGATAGCAGTTTATGAGCCACAACATCCACTTACAGTAAGATGAACTGTGTGCTTGTTGGTCATCTATATTCAATGAAAAAATCCTCAAAATACGTTTACTTTATACATTGATCACATGTTAAACGTTAGGAAAGTTAGAAAGCAAGGACTTCAAAATCATTCTCATTCCGGTAGAAAACGTCCTTTCAAAGAATAGAGCTTATAGTCTATCAATTCTAATAAATACCTTTTGACGTTTCACATTAATCATTCCGCAATAACTTTGCACAAGCGTACTCACACGATTTAAAATAACCTTTTACGCAAATCCGAAGAATTATGAAGTTATTTATATTTCATTACAACGTCTAATTTTTAAAATTCTTGAAATTACATGAATCACGAATAACACAAGTTTATTTTTTTTACTTTGTCAACTTAAATTTGTGCAACTCTAAATAATTGATATCGATTTAATAAGTTCCCATTTTTGGTTGGTATGCTTGGTGCAATAAGTCTGACAGCTGTCAAAATGTATTTTTTAGATTTGGTTGACTATAGTATAGCTTATGCAAAAAAACCTCAAACACTACTCAATTTTAAAATGCTTTGAGTCTCGTGCTGTTTTTATCACTTTAAGTTAAAATGACTGTGACACCACGAGACTTAACGACATCTTAAAATTGAGTAGCGTTTGAGTATTTGGTCATTAGGCTAGCACAATTAAGATAAGTTATAACAAACGTGAAAAAGTTGTTGGTTCAAAGAACATTTGTTATTAAGAGACGAATTATAAAATATTCCTATATTAAATATGTTGTAGCCATCAGATTTTAGGAATGATTTAAAAATAATGATTTCTTAAATTTACGCGAACACTACACATTGACATTGTTGGACAACACCTACTTAGGATCCTATAATTAACAAAATTAAACCCAAACCCAAGCATACCACTGCAAGACTTCAGGATACTATAAGCTCGTTTTGCGTAAATCGGACCAAAAATTAATATTCAAAAACTGAAGGTAGCCGGACTAACTATGACATTGGGACGTCAAACATCTCAGTCCCCCCTGTGACCATGGATGCTGTAAAGCACCCGAAACGTCGGGATAATAAAATAAATTAAAGTAATTAAACGCGATAAAATCCGTAAATAATAGTTTTTTTCAATGATTTAAAAATATTACCGTTACAGCCTCTCAAAAGCCCATTACTGAATATAGGGGGGGGAGGAGATAGTTTCCATAGTTGCCACGCTTAGCAGCGGGTTGGCAACTGCAGTTTTTATTTTTCAGTTGTTAATAGGAACAATATGCTGTCATCTCTTGGTTTGTTTCTCGTTGTTGCCTCTTAAGACACTCACGGAACGATACCCACTACCCTAGGGCAGGGGTGGCGAACCTTTATGTATCAACGTGCGATTTTTCTAAAGAAATGTTTAATTAGGTAATAGTCGTGCCGTAAAATAATTTTGCCTTCGTTATTATGTGGAAAATAATAGTACTAAATACTATCGACTCAAAACTCTTTATTTACTACAAAAATTAATAAAGAGTTTTGAGTTGCGACATCTATTGGGTAAATAATAATAAATATTTCAGATATACGCGTAATTAAAATTAAAGTAACATGAGTGTGACTTCTGTTGTTGCAGATTAGAACAAATAACTTATATTGGGGTTGTAAAATCCTAAATATAACACAAATTAATTTTTTAATACAGTTGTGTCAAAGAAATTGAGTATTTTTCTATGCGTAAACGAACTATGCATTCCTTGGAGGAGGCGTGGACTTGTGAAGGGCTGTAATGATGATGATGATGAAATGAACTATGCGTCATTAGCAATGGTGGTCCACGATGTAACTAGGAACACTCGTAATATAATACTTTAGTGTAGTGAACTTTATGATCGGGGGCGTACCCAAAATACTGTGTCCCGTGCCATCAGTGCGCCATCCCTGCCCGAGGATATTAATTATTATTATTAAAATCAAGGAGTGTAATCTGCACAATAGATGCTTAGCTTCTTATTAGATTTAAAACACTCAGCCTTCAGGAGAAACTACAGGAAAGCTGTAATAGTTTTTTTTTACTTTGTGATAAACGCCATAAAAGTAGAACTATGAACTACTGGTACACTTAGAGCCACACCTCGACACGCAGAATGATAGAAATGAATATACTACATCTCTTCCCCTTTCAAATATATCAATCACTGATTATTTTATGTTAATTGAGACAAATTGTTAAGATTGAGTAAAATATAATATTTACTTTCAGGGCAAGTCACTCAATCAAAGGGACTCAAAAATCTGTTGTAATTGCAAAAAACCGTTGCCATGCCAATGCTTACTCAATAAATCCTTTAATAAACAACAAAAGAATAAGATGCTAGTTCATCATAAGTTTAGCGACCAACATACAAGTTTTACTGACATTTTACATCAGAAAGTATCTTGTTGTCGACTTTGTAAAAAAGAAAAAGAATATGAAGAAAAGTTACTAAAACAAGCTTTGGAATGGCTTCAAGAAATACCAGTCGATGCTAATTGTTCTTCTTATGACAAAAACAGAAGGCAGGAGATAGTGAGGAAATTGGTAGATACGTTACTGAAATATACAGACGTAAAAGATAAACAGAAGGAAGAGATTAAAAAATGTTTAGACATACTGCCAATGTGGCAACCAATTGATCAATATGATCGAGATTTATTTAAAAATAAACTAACTGAACGTCTCCTGTCGCGGTTATGTATATTGTCCAACAATGACAAATATTTGAAAGAAATAGTTTCTAACTGGATTGATGAACTATTGACAAATCAGGAGCCTGTCAATAATTCATTTGTAAATAAAGAACATATTATAAATAAATTTGTAACCCAAATTCAATCCTTAACATCAGATGAAACATCAGATGAACAATATTTTAAAGAAAAAATAAAATCGATCGTAATGAATTTATTAAAAAATACTCCCATTGAAAGTGTTAACCACGATATAAGTTTTATCAACAGGGCTGCCGACAAACTAGTAAAGGATATAACTTTGACACAACCTGTTGAAGTTTCAAGGACAAACCCAGACAAAAATGGCAAACAATATAGGACGGATAATTACGGAAATCAAGTAAGTAAGTGGAATGATAACAAACCGAACCTAGAAATTTCAAATACCATTACGAATTTAAATAAGAGTGAAGAATTTGATAGAAATCATAATATTGAAAATAATAATGTGACATATAAAATTAAAAATGATATTAAAAAAAATATTGACATTATAAAAAAGGGCAATCTGGACTCAAGAACTGAAAGCCTTTTGTTAGAACAAATTAAAATAAAGTTAGAAGCTTTGCCTGAAGACTATAAGATAATCGATGAAACAAATGTGGAAAAACAATATTTTAAAGAAAAAATAAATTCGCCTGTAACTGATTTAATAAAAAATACTCCAATTGAAAGTATTAATCAGGATATAAATTTTATTAACAGGTCTGAGGACAAATTAGTAAACGATATAACTTCGATACAATCTGTTAAAGTTTCAACGACAAAACCAGACAATGGTAGCACACAATATAGGAAGGATAGTTACGAAAATCAAGTAAGTAAGTGGATGGATAACCACCAGAACTTAGAAACTGCAAACGCCATTATGAATTTAAATAAGAGTGAAGAATTGCATATAAAACATGATATTGAAGGTATTAAAGATGATGTTATAAAAATAATTGACATTATTAAAAAGGAAAAACTGGACTCAAAAGCTGAAAGCCTTTTGATAGAACTTATTACAAAGTTAGAAGCTTTGCCTAAAGATTGTAAGATAATCGAAGAAACAAATGTGGAAAAACAATATTTTAAAGATAAAATAAAATTACCTGTAACTGATATAATAAAAAATACTCCTAAAGTAATTAACAATGATGCAAGTTTTGTCAGGGCTGCCGACAAATTAGTGAAAGACGTAACTTCGATACAACCTGTTAAAGTTTCAACGACAAAACCAGATAATAGTGGCGCACAATATAAGAAGGATAGTTACGAAAATCGAGGAATTAAGTGCACTGATAACAACAAAAACCCAGAAACTCAAAATACCATTATGAATTTAAATAAGAGTGAAGAATTTGATAGAAATCATAATATTGAAAGTGTTAATGATAAAATTAAAGGTGATATTAAAAAAATAACTGACATTATTAAAAAGGACAATCTAGACTCAAGAACTGAAAGCCTTTTAATAGAACTTATTTCCATAAAGTTAGAAGCTTTGCCCAAAAACTATAATATATTTGAAGAAACAAATGTGGGAAAACCAGTCTTGGATAAAGTAAAACAAATTCAAAACAATAATTCAATGTCAAACCTAAAACCAAAACAACACGACAACTTCAAGGAAAACCCGCATCTTCAAGGATTTATCAGGAACAAAATATCATTAAAAGATGAAATAACAAATACTATTTCCACAAAAAATTATAAAGACGAACTAAGCTTAAATGATAGTGGAACTAATCTAATACAAACAGATGCAAGTTTTAGTAAGGCATTCTTGCCTTTCAGTGAACTTTCAATACGCTTAGAAAAGGATATTCAAAGCTATGTGAAAGAACAAGTATCTAAAATACTTAATGAATATTCTGTAGATAATAAAAACAGAAAAAAGATTGAAAATAAATTTACTAATATATTGACTGACCAAATAATGCGAGGACACAATAATAATAATTTTAAAGAAATGGCGTACAGTACGCTTCAAGAAATAAATCTACCCGACAGTAAACTTGGCGATCTCTATAAATCTCTTTTACAATTTACCAAAGAAATGTCGTTAAGTTTTAATACTAAAACGTCATCTTTTGTACGGAACATTAATACTGATGTTCCTAAAGAAAGAGAGAAAGATGACAGTTTGATAAATATAGAAAGGGAAATAACTTCCTTCATTAGTGAAATTACTGGCAATTTTAGGCCAGAACTCGTTTTAAAGCTTACAGCGCCTACAAAACATCTGGCTGCAGAAATTAAAAAAGTACTATCTAACTTCAAACATTCAATAAAAGAAACAAAAGATACGATTACCAAATTAATTTTTAACTTTCTTAAAAACCAAGGTCTGCCAACAGACGCACAGACTGAGAAATTGGCTAAAATCTTAGTGAAACAATTATTAAAAATTTCACTACATACTTCAACTCCAACGAGCGCAAATGAAAATTCCTTCCTTAGTACAAGTAATCAACCATCAACCATATCTTCGATCAGAATCGGTGATAAATATTTTGATACATTAGAGAATGAGTCTCTTATCCCAATTTATGAAAGTGCTGAAAGTTATTTATTTGTTAACGAAATTGAAAATTTAATCGGAAGTTGGATGAGAAATACCAAACTAAAAAGAATTTTTTCGAAGGCAATGATTAACAATATAATTAGTGACATTATACGGAGAAAAAGATATTTGCAACTAAATTCAGAAATTCAGACTTCTTATGATGAGGAACATAAATTTTTAAAATTATTATTCGCAAAGTGGATGGATAATAGTGACAGCTTTTCGAATATTGATTTTTACATTGATTCGTTAGTAAATCAAATAATTGGTCTTTACATGCCAGAGGTAACAAATGATTTAAAATTAAAAAATGATCCAATAACTGTAACCTCTATGGAAGTCCTAAAATGGATTCAAAAGTTACCACCAGACCATCTTGTCTCTCACGACAACAATTATCATAAATTAATTGCAAAAGAAATGGCAAAAAACATGCGAACAGCAATGAACCAAAATTCAAATCCTGAATTATTTCTAGAGAATGAAATTGAACATTGGTTACCTAAAATTGTTAAAGTTTCTTATGGAAGTGACTTCCACGGCTTGACTGTAAATCTAAAAGATTATATAAAAGAAGACGTATTACAAAATTTAAATTTACCTAAATATAATAATCAATCTACGAAAAACATAAACGATGCTATTATGAAGTGGTTAAAAAGCTCACCTATTTATCAAAGAAGAAATACACAGGAAAAGCTATTACAAGAAAACTTAATGTCAAATCTTTCAAGGGATTTAAATCACATCATCAGCAGTTTAAAACCAACTAGAAATATTGATGACCGAGAACTTATTCTTAAATTGATAGAAACGCAATTAAAACAATTTCCGGTGGATCCGACGATAAGGTATGATGATAAATATCATCGCAAAACAGCTCTAGAAATTCTAAATCATTTAAAGAATTTAGGTATTTTTCGGAATAGTTCTACTAATATTGTTACAATTAAAGACAATATATCTGATTGGCTACAAAATATACCGCTAAGGAGTATTCTGTCGCCTAATAACGAAAAAGCGGCAGTTAATGAGATTTATTCAATCTTTTCTGAATATTTGGACAGTAGATTAATGGATACCAAAACAGTACAACATCACAAAAATAAAATAATCAACGTTCTCAAGTCATTACCTCTGGGAGATGATCTAAGTAATGATAAATTACAAACGTTGGTAGACAATTTATTTGAAATATTAAAATGCAATTCAAAAGAAACATCACTGATGGATCGTACTGATGAATTAGAATATTTTAAAGAAAATACTAAAAAGCTTTTGATAAGAGCGATTGAGAAATGGTGTGAACGATTCCCAATAAACATAGAAGACAATTCAGAAGACAAAGCTAAAAAACGTGAAATTAAAGATCGCCTTATTAGCGGACTGGTAAATGTACTAAATAACCTAACTATAAATTCAAATCTGGTTGATGATTTGAATGCGTTTGAAAATTTATTGAAAAATGAAATAGGACATCTTTTCGATACTTTGTTTGAGAGCAATGACAAATTACTTCCTTTGCAAAATGATTTATTCAATATTACAAAAGATATTTTAAATAGGTATCGAAACGTATTAACCTTAAATATTTATAAAAATCACCTGCGTGATATTATCGATAAATCTATACCTGTGATTTCTGATTTTTCTTCTGAGCAACAAAATTCTTTAGAAAATATGAAAGAAAAGTTAATTGAAGCATTTATTAGTTTACATAAAATTTCAAATGATGATACAAGGGAGTACAAAGAAAAATTAAAACGTGAAGTAAATGAATTTTGTAGCAATTATTTGAAACGTTATCCTGCTTCTCCTTTAGAGGCAGATAAACTATGCAACGATTTATACACTGCATTGCAAAATGTATCTTTTCTAGACAGTCCTAAACTTGATGAAACCCAAATTAAACAAATAAAAAAACAAAACGATATTAAAACTGTTTTGGCAGATTTACCGTTAGAAAACATTGAAAGCAATAATTTGTTAAAGACTAAATTTGCGCATTTTTTACTTGAACGACTGAAAGGTGAACCTAAAAATTTAGAACAGGAAATAATTGAATGGTTAAAACAATTTTCATTTAAGCCAGAACATAATGTTAATATGCCAGAAATAGCAAAAGATGTTATTCGTAAGTTAGGGAGCTGTAATTCCATAGAAAAATATAACAAGAATACTAAACTACAATCTATGCAACAAAGTGCAAATATTCAATCGTCTTCGCAATGTTTAATTGAATCTCCCTTGGTTAAAGCAAATGCTGCAAATCATTCACAAATTCTATTACAAGAACGTCCAGTATATTCAAGACATGGATTTAAATCCGTAGAAAAAGATTTACACATCAATCAACGTTCAAAGAATATGGGTATTCAAACAGAAGAAGTAAGACCTGAAAGCTGCAGTTTTGAAAATACTCATGAATATCACATTACGAAAAACGATAAAACCTTAATTCATCAAAAAACATGTCCTTCAATAAGTTGTACATATTATCCGAACTCTTCAAACAACAAACAATCACAAGAAACACAAACATCAAACCGAACAGAAGTATCACCCCATATTATTGTTAAGGAATACTATTGGAATTCCACCTCATCATGTCATATGGACAACTCACAATACGAGTCACAAAGCATACACAGTCAATTGCGGCGAACAGTACCATCATGGCCCTTACCACAAACAAATATATCTTGTAAATCGCCAGAATTATCTACACATCATAGCAGATCAACGCGAATCCCTTACATAGCATCAGGAAGTCTATGTCCACCTAATATGCCTACGGTGGAAACTGAATTATCATCGTTATCTCGCCCTATAAACCAACAACCACTAGATAAAATAGATGACCCCTGGGTAATAACAAAATCACCTTCAAACGGGAGACACGAACCTAGACAGTCAAATCATCATTTGACATCTAAGAACATTAATGACGTTACACAGAACATTAATGACAGACACAGATTTCCAAAACACAAAACTGCAAGTTGCAGCAACACAAAAAAATCGCGATATAAATTAACAGACGGATTTTACTTAACTAGAGAATTACCAGATTACATTTCATGCGCTAATATAGAAAAAAATATTTCTGATTTGAACTTAAATAATTTCTTGCCAAAAGAAAGGGAGTTAGATCGCACAGTTATGTGCAGATGTTACGGACGTAGAGACGCTAAACTTTTACAAAGACAGGTCCCTGATTCTTTAAAATTGTTTGATCAGCAGCATATCAATAACATACGAAAACGTTTCAAAAGTCGTGGTGCACTCTGTCCTCATCCGAGTGCTTTTTACTTTAGTTAAACTGTTGTGCAATATTCGATGCCATTTTTAAATATTGAGTGAATTCATTTGGGAACAAAATAAAAAAATGTATTTTAAAAATGACTTTTATTTGGTTAATTATAAAATTAAAAAGATTTCGTTTGCGGCTAAAAGTTTTTGATTGAAACAAATAAAAATGTTGATGATATCACACTTTTTATCATTATTGTTTTAGTCTTTCGGTATTGAACAGATTCTAGAATCTAGATTCTTCAAATTCCGCGTTGAAAGGAGTACATATTAGCAACCGTTGTGACCAGAGAATACTATAATACACAATGTATGTAATATATGTACTCGTACTTTTAAACATAGTTCCACACATAATCTATAGACATATAAATAATACTAAAGTGTTTGTCTGATCTGACTATAATATTGTTACGAGCTTGAGGTTCGTGACAATAAAAATTGCCGATAAAATTACCTAAATTAACACTTTAATTTACTTTAAACAAATTAAATCTTAAAACACTAATAATTAAACACACTAATTCACTTAATTTCGCTCCGAAGCTTCGCTCGTATCGCCAATTCAATACTACTTCGATCGCATCTTGCAGCGCCTACTTATATAAATTAGCAAAATATCCAGAATGTTCAAGTAAACACGCGCAAGGTACCGAGAATTCGAGTTTTAAACTTCAAGAAGTTTAGTTCTTCGGTTCGAGACTAGATGGCGCTAGTGCGCCGATTTGAGGCATTGGAGCGCGTAACACTGCCCCCTCCTAAGACATGCTCGTCCCGAGCATTATCGGTCCCATAATAACGCGCTAGGCGATCCACATGGACGATCTTAGGAGTCCCTCTTGCGCCTTTCTGTATCCGGTAGGTTACATCGTTGATCCTGGTCACAATTCGGTACGGGCCGTCCCATTTAGCCTGAAGCTTAGGAGATTTCCCATTGCTGCGGACTGGATTGTGCAACCACACAAGTGAACCTTCGTCGAACCCTTTGTTGTTCATTTTGCGATCATACCGGGTTTTCATCTTTTCAGACATTTGCTGGCCCGATTGTCTGACGTGCTCATAAACGTCATTCATTTTGTTCCGCAAGTCATTTGCATAATCGGTTATACTGCGTGGAGCATCAGGTGGTATCCCGGTGATCAGGTCTGCAGGCAGCCGTAATTCTCTTCCAAAGTTTGCGAAAGCTGGTGTCACTGCTGTACTTTCGTGAACAGCGCTTCGATATGACAACAAAAACGGTTGTATGTGCTTGTCCCAATCTCGTTGCCTATTGTCTACAACTTTTGCTAGGTACCTCTCCAATGTCTGATTAAATCGTTCTACCATTCCATCAGATTGCGGGTGATAAGAAGTCGTTCTTGTTTTATGAGTACCCATAACTCGGCAAGTTTCCTGGAATATTTGAGACTCAAAATTCCTTCCTTGATCGCTGTGAATCTCTAAAGGTACACCAAAACGACAGAAGACTTCATGAACTAGCTTATCAGCAACTGTTGAAGTAGTATTGAATTGGCGATACGAGCGAAGCTTCGGAGCGAAATTAAGTGAATTAGTGTGTTTAATTATTAGTGTTTTAAGATTTAATTTGTTTAAAGTAAATTAAAGTGTTAATTTAGGTAATTTTATCGGCAATTTTTATTGTCACGAACCTCAAGCTCGTAACAATATTGAAATTTACGGCCATTAATACCTAAATAACCATTTCTATATTTTTTGTGTCGCCCGGGCTTATCTTCGAAATAGTTGAACCGATTATACAAGCAGATAGAAAGGAATGCCAGTAGTGATTTAAGCTGTTTATAGGTTAAGGGTGACAAACGGGCATACAGTTCACCTGATGGTAAGTGGATGCTGTGGCCCATTAACTTCGATTAAGAATCAAAATGCGGATGCGTTGTCACCCTTGAGGACTAAGATGGAATGCCTCGATTCCAGTAAAACGGGTCTCCGGTTCTCTACACTGACCTTACTAAATACAGCAGCATTAGGCTGCTATTTTACGCTGGTATTCTGTGAGAGCATGGTCCTTCCCCGGTCGAGCCGGCCCATTCGTGCTACAACCCTAATATAGCTGCAGCGTGGTTCTACCAGGTAAGAATGGGCTACACTTTATCGATAAAACTTGGAGATTTATTTTTCCTATGGAATCGAAAAATTGATAAAATAAATGGTCATTGATGGTGACATTAAGTCTAAAATCTAAATAATGCAACATTAAAAGATCCTACCCATGCGAAGCCAGGACAGATCAGTAGTTTTAATATAAACATGTACCACCATCTACAGTGATTGAATATATATATATATATATATATATATATATATATATATATATATATATATATATATATATATATATATATATATATATATAAACTCCGAATTAGATACTATATACATGGAAGCGTTGGCCGCTCTCCGGGTCTTGCCCGGCGGGAGATCTCCCCTTTTCCTTCCATCCCCAAACTAACAATCCGTATACTAAATTTAGGTGAAAGATCTACTATATTACTTCTGAATGAGTTGCTATGGTTATCTGGTCTCGCCCATCAAATTTTGGCTTTTCTCTTGTGCCTACGATTCATATTTTGATAAAAGCTGAAGTAGCTACAGATTTGCCATCGCAGGAATACCAAGCCGAATTATGTGGCAGAGCTAAGCTGCAGCACAAATGGGTCAGCTCGATCGAGAAAGGAACGCGCTTGGACTGAATCATCACCGTCATCATTATAGCCTATCAAAGTACACTGCCGACATAGACCTCCCCAGAGATTGCCTCACTAGGGAGTTTCCGGCACAGTCGCCAGCTTGGCAGGAAGGTTAGTTTCTAACTGCGGTTGTCATCTCTAAAGATAAGGACTTAAATGATGAAATAAATGGTACAGACCGTGCCACGAAAGATGAGACTTGGCGAGCGTCAGTAGTGGGGAGCTTGCGCAGGTACTGTCGTCTACGAAATATTATCCATAATTTGTATATCTATTCAGGGGTTTTTCGACGACATTTGAAATTAACACAACGTAACAAAATTCTGAAAAATATTTATTACGAAATAATAAATTTAAAGATAAAAATGGCTGATTATCCTAGTCACTGTCACTGTCAATAAATGATACACCAGCGGGAAGATTATCGTTTGTAACGCAACCAGGCTGCAACCAGGTACATTAACTCTAGAAAATACACTACTTGTTCCAGGAGTTAACAGATTATCGTTTTCGTCAGATGACGATGAGGAACTACCTGAGTCCCCTGAGTCTGACGAATCTTCTCCTAGTCTGATAATTATCTCCGTATCCGTCAAATTGTCTATTATGTGATCACTTTCTATGTAAAAGTCTTCAATTTTTTTTTTGTTTTATAACATAGAGCTTTCCATTCATTTGGTCCCATTTGGCTTGCCTTTTCTGTTACTAACTCTATCACACGTTTGAGGTTCCATTGCACATTCTTACTACTCACATAACCTTTTATTGAAGCCCAAGCCATTTCGATTGGATTTAAATCTGGGTGCTATGGAGGTAATCGCAGTACGTCATGACCGTGTTCAGATAGTATTTTGTCAATGTCGAATGTCTTATATTGTTCTTTATATATTTTTATCAATTTGTACAATTGTGGTTTAAGCATAACTGGTAAGTGTAGGGAATTCCTTTTTGGGTTAGCCAAGATTGCATATCAGCTTTCTTGGTATTTGAGCTTGGTGCAGATTCATACTCCTTATTGTGATACGGGGCATTATCAACTACCACGACGGCATTTGGTGGAAGATTGGATATTAGCTGGGTTCGAAGCCATTTCTGATAATTTTCGTAATTCATGTCGTCGTGGTAATCACCCGTTTTTGACCCCAATTTAAAAGTCAGTAAAGCGTTTGGTATGAAACCACTTTCAGATCCAGCATGTACAATAACTACGCGCTGACCTTTAGATATTGGTTTTTTGAGCCCTTTATCTGAATTATCAGACCAAGATTTGGAAATGCACGTAAGACTCGTCAGTATATACAAGAGGATGACCTTCTTGGCGATATTTTCTGACTTTTTTTAAATATTCAATTCTTTTCAGTCTGATATTGGATTTTTCTATAAGAATTTTTCGATTATTTTCGTTCCTCCTACATCGAAAACCAAGGTCTTTCAAAATGCGGCGTAGACTTGTTTTAGAACCTCGAAAGGCAATATCATCACGCAACTTTGCTAAAATTTTATTAAGGGTCGGCAGTTCCTTGTTCGTAACATGGAAGTTGTGAACACATCTTTTTATCACTCCTTTGTCAAAGTCATCTATGTCGGTTAAAAGTTTGGGTCTTGACCTTTTTTTTCCGGGAGTGCGGAAAATTGGTAGTAACTCTAATCTGTTTCCTTCCTTCACAATTCTTTTTACTGTAATTAATGATGTTCTAGTTGCGGCCGCTCTACGCATTTGTACCTGCTTCAAATTTTGTACACCTTCCTTTGCTTCTTTTGACATATAGGTGTACACGTCGTAAACCATCTTCCTACTTTGTGGTCTTAATGTTTTTTAACTGTTAACCTCGAGGCATAATCAAGATTTCACAAAGTTTCACTCGTATAGAACAACACAACTATAAACAAAGTAGAAATTTATAAACACAAGTTGCACTTGTCTGTACTTGCGGAGTCAAGCGGTAAGTGCACGGGGCGCGGAGAGCGGGAAGCAACTAATATGAATGAGCGGCGCCGTTGACGCCCGGTCCCTTCCCGCCTCAGACTTCATACCGCTAAAGAGACCGATAAATCGACTAATGCGCAACTCAAACCACGTGATGTGTCAAGTCTCATCTTTCGTGGCACGGTTTGTAACGGGAGATCCGTAACAGTAGTAGTACTTGAATTGAATTCAAATTCAAATTCTTTAATTGCAATATATAGGTAGGAAATGTTTTGATCTTGATGTGTTAAGGAAACCTATTTAGCTGTTTTCAACAGCATGCAAATATTGAAATGTTTTTATAGTATCTATAATTAATTACTAAGTTTATTCTG